CACCAGATTCCCAAACCCTGTCCCCCCCCCCCCCCCCCTCCCTCTGTGGGAGCAACCCTTCATCAGACTCTTTCTACCCAATACTTGCATAGAACCTAGTTTAATTCCAAATTTCCCTTTTGAACAGCAAAACACAGACAGCTTTTTGTTTTGCTGTGAAGGATTTTTCAATTGCCTTTCCTAGCCCAGCACCCTGCTGCCTGCCCTCCAGTTGCAGCATCATCTCCCCATCACTTACAGGGAGTCTGCCTACCAGCACCTCCTCCTCCTCTCCATGGCACTTCATGTCATCACCCATGGGCTGGCCCCCCCTCTCCAGCCGTTACATGCATGATGCTGCTGCTGCTAATCAGTGTAGAACTTGGCATGGAGCCCCGCAGACATCAGGGCCAGTGGTAGAACAAGGGAGGAGGTAACTGTGCAAGGCCCGAGCTGATTTCTCAGCAGCAAGGAGCAGCAGATGCCAGGGGTAGAGCTGGCAGATGTTTAGTTTCACTGAACTAAAGGCAGAGCTAGAGAGGCCAGCAGGTGAAGAAGGAGCAGTCGTGGGAGTACAGCTTTCATAGCAAAAGATCTGTGTACTGAAAAAGGAATGAGAAGTTTGACTCCAGCACCCCAGCAAGGGCAGCACAACAACACACAGCACAGCACTCTGCCTAGCTCCAAGACTGAGGGTGCTTTGCATCATGAGGGAGACAAAATGCACTCCCCCTCACTCCTCCCCCATTTGGGTCTCATTAACCCAGTTCCTCACTCACTTGCTCTTCCCATCACTGACAGAGTCCACGACATCCGGTGTTTTCAGCATGTAGCCAAGTGCCGTGGAAATATGGATAACATCTTCAAACCCTGGAGAGGCACAGAGGTGCATGCATAGAGGAAGAGAGGGTTAGCCCAGTAATGGAAGGAGAGGAGCTTTTGCCCTATTTGGAATACCAGGACTGGAAATATTTCCAGCTGGGGTTTCCTCTTCCCCACTTTCTGCCCTCTCCCCCTACGTCCTCTACATTCTATTGGGCAGAAATCAGAGAGGGGTGGCACCTTAAATACTAACTTGTTTAGAAAGGGGTAAATTTTAATAGAGGACGTCCTTTGTCAGATGTCACCCTGCCATGCCTTCTGCCTAATTTCAGATTCACATGGCTAACTGCCTTCCTTCATTCTACCAGTAGCAGGAAAAGGCTTACTGGAGCACAGTTATGTTCCAATGCAGAGCTGCTCCCAGAATAACCATCTTCAGTACCTCCATATCCTGTGCAACAGAGCTCCCATCATCTGCCTTGGAAAACTGCTGCAATGAACCAGGTCCTGCCAGCAGGAAATATTTTATAACAGCCAGCCAAAAATTTGCTCAGTTCTACCTTAGCAATATCTTCTGGCTATTCAAATTGAAATACTCTTGAGACAGAAACTTGAAAAATAGAGTTGGAAGGGACGCCAGGAGGTCATCTAGTCCAACCGGCTGCTCAAGGCAGGATCACCACCATCTATTCTAAGCTGTCCTGGAGATGTGTTTGTCTAAAGGAGATTCCACACCCTCTTCAGGCCATCTGCTCCAGTGGCCGACCACCCTCTATGTTATAAAAAAAAAATACACCTAATATAGCTAATCCCCAAAAGAGAAGCAGAACATGACAGAAGGCACAAGGTCAGCTTACCAAGGCACTGCTGAGATGCCTGCAAATGCTTGTTCCATTCCCTGCTAGCCCTTACTTAGCCAAGTTATATCTAGTTAATGGGTTTTCTTTCAAAGAGCAAGGCCATTAATCATCCCTCCACCATCTCACTCCCCCAGAGAGCTGGTTATGACACCAAAGCCTTCACTGGGAGGACCCAGTGAATGCTTTATTACATCAGCACCAAGATCATCAGGTCCCCATCCCTCCACCCCCCCAAACAAGTCCCCTCTGTAGCCCCAAGGCAACACACCCAGAAGTACTAGTTCTACCCTTCTTTGGGCAGAAGAAATCAAACCCCTGATAGAAGGGAGCCCGAGCATTTTCAGATAGATCCAGAGGAGCAGGTTGACAAGCAGAGGAGGAGGAGGAGAAAGAGAAAAAAGGCAGGTTTCAACAACTACTGCTAGGCAATCTACTGCAAGTGTGGGAATGAGGGAAAAACCTAGGTCTAATTTCAAGACTATACTCTAAGCATGGAGCTGTGGGGGTCAGTGTCTAGCCATTACCCCTCTGTGCAGAGTTCCAGGCCACACCCTAGGAGCATGAAGCCAAATTTGGCCAGAGATGAGGTGCCAGCCTGTGAAACCAAAATAAGAAACAGGGGAGGAGGAAAATACATATTACTGCTAGTGTTTAGGAAGAGCCTGAGGGTCCTCAGAGGAGTCTGGTAACTGATCTAGTCTCATTGCACAGACTCTGCTGCCTGAGAAAAATAACAGCCCCATCTCAGCAGTGTGTCAGAAGCCTAATCCTGGAAAGACTCCCATACACCTGCAAAGCACTCATCAGGGAAGAGGGGCACTTAGTCCTGGGCAGTGGGACTCGGGGTATACAGACACATGCTGCTGTGGACGTAACAGAGGAATCCATATTTTCAGACGATACCCCAGAGGAATGGTGCCCTGGCACGAAAGGGCTGTTACCCTTCACAGGAAAACCCTGGCAGGCAGTCACTTCCTCCAAGAAGGTGAACAAGAGATAAGCCATTTCTCCTCCAACGCTCTGCCCTTACGCACCACTTCACCCACCACTGAGACCCTAATGCTGAGCTGGAAAAAAAAA